CTATCTTTCCCCCAGTTAAGGGCTACATAGCAGGTTAGAATGGCCTTTATTGTAGTCGAGGTGAGGTAAGGCTCTAAACTTAAACGCAGCCTAAAGAGAGATGTGATTAATGTCTTCCTTTCCCTAGACACACCACTGCCGCCATGACTGTAAAATATGTGGTGCTCTGACGACTTTATTACTTACAGGACTCATGACATTAAGATCCAACATACCATGATAAAGAAAAATAGGAACATTTCAAACACTCGAGCATAATGAGATCTTGTGTAGTGTACGGAGAGTTAATACGAAGTCACGTGCGCTCAAACGAATTGGATGACAGCTTTGGAAGTGAAAGCAACACAACTATACTATTTAAATATATTTAATATCCAAATAGCAAAGATGAAATTAAAAAAACAAAGTTTTTATTGTAGATACCGGGAATCTGTATACCTAGCTTAGGCATCCGGGTAACTTGTCAACAGTCTTTCTTGAAGATGAAGTCCATTTCAGTTCAGAGCTATTTTCACTATTTATATTATTCGGACTATTGTCCTCATCTTTGTCGCCATATTTATCACATATTTATCCGTTGTACGCTCCGGCCATCTTCAGGTGGTTGGAATGTCGAACTGAAACCTTTTATTTCGTTCACTGGGGTAGACTGTTCTAGTTCCGCGTGCCATGTCTAATGGATGTCAGTTATTAGTTATCTCCTGTTAATTCCCCTCTCCAAGTTCTCCACTGCCTTAACCGGGTATTGAACTGACACTCTATGGGTCCTGTCACTGGATCTAACCAACGCCTTTATCCATTGTACCATGTGTCCTTGAGGACAGTGACAGGACCCAAAAGAGTCTGAGTTCAATACCTGGTTAAGACGGTGGAGAACTTAGAGAGGGGAATTAACAGGAGATAACTGATAACTGACACCCATTAGATATGGCATGTGGAAGTAGAACAGTCAACCCCAGTGAGCGAAATAAAGGGTTTAGTTCGACATTCAAAATTCCTGAAGAAGGCCGGAGCGTACATCGGCCGAAACGTTGTGATAAATATGGCAACAAAGATGAGAACAATAGTCCGAATAATATAAATAGTGTACATAATACCTCATCTCAGAAATATAGACAGATACTGAAAGGCCGAAACGTTGTAATAAATATGGCGACAAAGATGAGGACAATAGTCCGAATAATATAAATAGTGTACATAATACCTCATCTCAGAAATATAGACAGATACTGAAAGGCCGAAACGTTGTAATAAATATGGCGACAAAGATGAGGACAATAGTCCGAATAATATAAATAATGTACATAATACCTCATCTCAGAAATATAGACAGATACTGAAAGGCCGAAACTTTGTAATAAATATGGCGACAAAGATGAGGACAATAGTCCGAATAATATAAATAGTGTACATAATACCTCATCTCAGAAATATAGACAGATACTGAAAGGCCGAAACTTTGTAATAAATATGGCGACAAAGATGAGGACAATAGTCCGAATAATATAAATAGTGTACATAATACCTCATCTCAGAAATATAGACAGGGCTGTTTTCTGGTAGTAATAATAAGTTTTCCCGGCTCCGTTCTTCCATCGCCTGGATACCATTCACTAGAGCTTGCGCTGTTTGTGCTGCCTGAGTAACAAAAATGAGAGGATGTGTGTTTGAATTTGACACTTATATAGTCAGGGTCGCGTAACACTTACAGAGGCAGTGATTGGTCCTTTCTTTAGGCATTCAGTGTTCCTGTTTTATTCCATGCTTGATTAATATTATTTTAGGATTCATTATTCTTAATTCCAATACCATAAGTCATAGTCTTGATATGCTACAATTACTGTAAAAAAAAACCAGTAATAAATCATAGTCGTAGTCTGAATAACTGTAGTGTAAAAATTGGATCTGGGAAGAGGACCTGAAGAACACGAAAATAAAAAATAAGTGTGTCTTGTAGTTAAGGGTAAATCAGAAAGTTGGTACGTGTCTAGACATAATTCGTATGATGATTTGGTCAGCGGTTAGACATACTCAAAGTTAACAAGTTGATCAGGGTAGAATTTATAAAAGAATTCTAAAATTGAATTAAATTCTAGTCTGTGCACCGACTTGATCAGTAAAACTGTAACATTTCCCAGTCAGACAGTTGAGAGAGCGCGTCAAAGAAAATAAAAGAACTATTGTTCATTTAATTAAATCTTAATTTTATTGTCTCTTCGCACTGTCTAGCCTCGTTCTGAACCTCTTTGTTTCTGTAGACATGGCCAGATGGTATTGACCAACGACTTGTCATGTTCGTCCGTTGTCAGTGTTATTATTGATGCTGTTGTTGTTATTGTTATGGCTGTTCTTGTATTTCATCACTTTTTTTTTTCAATTTCCCCTTCGTTTTTCTGACCGCCTCCCTTAAATTTATTTATACATATATATTTTCTTGCGACTTCTTTACACTTTTCAAACTTTTTCTTCAAAACTTTACTTTCTCCCTTCTTTCTTTGAGACCAGCATTTGCGTTCCTTACTTTCTTTCTTTCTTTCTTTCTTTCTTTCTTTCTTTCTTTCTTTCTTTCTTTGGTATTCATCTTTGAGATTTTTCTTTTACAATCTCTTTACTTTGAACTTCGTTCTTTCTTTCTTTCTTTCTTTCTTTCTTTCTTTCTTTCTTTGTTAATTATATTTGAGATTTTTCTTTTACAGTCTCTTTACTTTGAACTTCTTTCTTTTTTTCTTTCTGTCAGTCTGTCTATCTGTCTTTGACGCGTTTAATTTTGATTATTTCTTTGGCAGTCTTTATTTTGAGATTTTTACTTTTTCATTTTTTCTGTCGTTTTTTCGTTCTTTCTTTCCTTCTTTTTTGGTACTCATCTTTGAAATTTTTCTTTTATACTTTCCTTATTTTAAACTTTCTTTCTCAATTTCATTCTATGGAATTCTTCTTTGAGAATTTTCTTTCTTTCTTTTCATAGCGCTCCATTTTGAGTTTTTTTTCTTTCTCTTTTTATTGTATAAGAGTATTGGTATTCATCTTTGCCTTTTTTCTTTTACAATCTCTTTATTTTGTGCTTCATTCTTTCATTTTTTCATTCTTTCTTTCATTCTTCTTTCTTTCTTTCTTTCTTTTCATAGCATTCTATTTTGAGATTGTTTCTTTTTTTCTTTCTTTCTTTCTTTCTTTCTCTTTTTTCTTTCTTTCTTTGGCACATTTATTTTCAATTATTTCTTTGGCAGTCTTCTTTGAGATTTTTCTTTTACAATCTCTTTGCTTTCAGCTTCTTTCTTTCTTTCTTTCTTTCTTTGGCACATTTATTTTCGATTATTTCTTTGGAAGTCTTCTTTGAGATTTTTCTTTTTTCTTTTTTTTTCTGTCTCGTTCTTTTCCCCCTCTTTTTTGGTACTCATCTTTTAAATTTTTCTTTGGTACATTCCTTATTTTAACCTTCTTTCTCTCTCTTTAATTTTATGGAATTTTTCTTTGAGAATTTTCTATCTTTCGCTTTTTATTCTTTCTTCTTTATTTTCTTTGACACAGTTCTTGAAATCGTTCTTTCTGTTTTTCTTGGGCACACTGTCTTTTATTTTTAGATTCTTTATTGAAACACTTCTTTACTTTGAGATTGTTTCTTCTTTCTTTCTTTCTTTCTTTCTTTCTATGCCACTCTATTTTGAGTTTCTCTAGATACAGTTTGCAATCTTACAGATAACATATATTTATTAATTGTCGTTAAGAGAATTCTGTTAAGACGGGAGGGAATGATAATTCAAAGGTGCCATATCTTCAGTGAACACGATGAATAAGTGAAAACATCACAGCTGATATGTAACACGTTTTGCCTGATCACCAAAGAATCATACTGTTTTGTGGTTATCATGATGGAATATTGTTAACTTTCTCTGTACTAACGTTGGTCGCTTTTCTCTAATTGCTGCTTTATGTGATCGAAGTTGGAGCAATACTTGTTCGAATCAATCATTTATGATTAATAGTTAACTTTCCAGCATATCTTCATTTCCTTGAGTGGATCTTCAACCCTGTATTATATGAAGAATTAAATAAAAAAATATCAGATTTCGTTCGGTTAGTGACGGATTATTTGGTTTCACCAGTAATTTCTTCATGTCCATATTGTTGAAATGTATCCACTTTTCATCGGTCGTCAAAATTTGTTTTTTTTAAAGGAATATTTAAATATATACACTTGAGTGTTTTCTATTTTTTGCTTAATGTGGTTTCCAGAAAGAGCCCATAAAAAAGATACATTTTTGAATCCCACCGTAAACACTTCTTTTCGCTTAATCTTTGTGAGGTTCCTAGTAAGAGCCCGTAAAGGAGGATTCCTTTTTTAATCTAACCATAAACACTGGGACATCTTCTTGTGGGTGATGACTTAATTTCCATTCCCCTCGCTGTTATAATGGCAAATATAGTGACGAGCTACAATTAGTTCCACCAGATCTGAAATACACAAATGAAACCCACCATATCACGTACATTGGGACAAATCATTACCATTCCCTTTGTATTCCATTCGTAAGGAGGAAGTTCAAACAGCTTCTTCCCAAGAACCGTTACTTTGTGAAACCCGAGAGGATGCTTTCCCCATCACTAAAATATTTAACTCATCAAGTCTATGATTAATAGTTATATTTCTTGTATATATTCACTTTCTTGAGTAGATATTGGACCCTGAAGGGTATGAAAATTTAAAATAAAAAAAAAGATCGGATTTTGCTCTGTTAATGACGGCTTATTTTGTTTCACCAGTAACTTCTTTAGATCCATGTTGTTGAAATGTATCCACTTTTCATCGGTCGTCACAATTTGTTTTGTTTTATTAAAGGAATATTTAAATATATACTCTTTAGTGTCTCTTTTTTCATTTAATCTATGTGACAGATGCACATCAAATCATCTACCATAACGAAACTGGTGTCAAATATCTTCATCAGCTTATCTGTATATTTTGATAATGTTGGTAATTTGTTGTATCGCATAGCGTTGATATTTAGCAAATAACTGTATATTTGATTGCCAGCTACCTCAGCAAGTTACATCAGATCGTAGAGCTTTGTTCAGCGAAAAAAAAAAATCCGTACGTATCTTAAACAGATACTCCGATTATTCGCAATAAATTCATCGGAATACAGAGTTCATTAGGTGGGTTAGATAATCGTTGTTGGCTCAGGAATATTTCGGCTTTTCAGACCCCCACAGAGCCAACATTTCATTTATAATGAAACTATGCAGAGCGGCCTAAGTTTGAATTTTCAGGAGAGAACGCATAATCTGGCGTGATCACCATCACTTGAACAAGGCCAGTGTCCTCGGTTACAATGAATGGTGACTTCGATAACCGTTTCCGGCTTAGGAACAGTTTCCTCTACCAAATTACAATCACAGCGCTTGTATCAACCAGCGATATTGTTTTTTAAGGGATCGTTTCCCCAGACTGGTTTTATCATGAAGTCACCGCCTTGACAAAGTGACAATTGGGAGATTCAAAAGATGGGTCCCATCATCGGGTCGCCGACGCTTAACCATACCGACTATTAGGCACATACAATATCATCATTATGAATTGTATAAATATTTTTATGCACTTCTGTTACACTTTTGTGAATCTGAATTTTACATTTGTTAAAAGGAAAACGGCTAAAATACCTGCTCATATTTTTGCTCATATTCTGCCAATTTAAATGGTTTGTTTTGTTTTACGGCATATCAACGCCTCAATGGGATATTTAATGTCGACAAGATTTTTATTGCTGCTAATAGTTTTTTCAAAATAGTATTGCTGCTAATATATTTTTTTTTCAAACATGTATTGCTGGTAATATTTTTTCATCAAACATGTATTGCCGGTAATATTTTTTCATCAAACATGTATTGCTGGTAATATTTTTTCATCAAACATGTATTGCTGGTAATATTTTTTCATTAAAAATGTATTGCTGGTAATATTTTTTCCTTCAAAAATGTATTGCTGGTAATATTATTTCATCAAAAATGTATTGCTAGTAATATTTTTTCTTCTTCAAACATTTGTTGCTGGTAATATTATTTTTCTTCAAAAATGTTTTGCTGGTAATATTTTTTCCTCAAAAATTTATCACTGGTAATATTTTTTCCCAAAAAATTTATTTCTCGTATTATTTTTTTGTCAAATATGTATTCCTGGTAATATTTTCTTTATTCAAATATGTATTCCTGGTAATATTTTTTTTTTCAAAAATGTATTGCTGGTAATATTTTTTTTCCTCAAAAATGTATTGCTGGTAATATTTTTTTTCCTCAAAAATGTATTGCTGGTAATTTTTTTTCCTCAAAAATTTATTACTGGTAATATTTTTTCCTCAAAAATTTATTTCTGGTAATATTTTTTCCTCAAAAATTTATTTCTGGTAATATTTTTTCCTCAAAAATTTATTTCTGGTAATATTTTTTCCTCAAAAATTTATTACTATAATGTATTGCTAGTAATATTTTTTCTTCAGAAATGTGTTTCTGGTAATATGTTTTACACAAAAATTTTTTTCTGGTAATAATTTTTTTCAAAAATGTATTGCTGGTAATATTTTTTCCTCAAAAATTTAATGTTGGTAATATTTTTTTTCAGAAATGTATTGCTGGTAATATTTTTTTTCTTCAAAAATGTAATGCTGGTAATATTTTTTTCTTTAAAAATGTATTGCTGGTAATAATGTACTGCTGGTAACAATTTTTTACAAAAATGTATTGCTGGTATTCAAACTTATTTTTATACTTTCATAGTTTGGGTGTTAACTATTTGCCCATAGCTGGGACCGTAACAGGTGCTGTCACCTCGGGTCAGCAATTAAGAGGTGATTCCACGCTCCTCAAAACCTCCTGATCAGAGACCTTACCCAGAACGCGGATGTAGTTTATCGTCTTACCCAGGATGCGGATGTAGTTTATTGTCTTACCCAGGACGCGGATGTAGTTTATCGTCTTAACCAGGACGCAGATGTAGTTTATCGTCTTACCCAGGATGCGGATGTAGTTTATCGTCTTACTCAGGACGCGGATGTAGTTTATCGTCTTACCCAGGATGCGGATGTAGTTTATCGTCTTACCCAGGACGCAGATGTAGTTTATCGTCTTACCCGGGACGCAGATGTAGTTTATCGTCTTACCCAAGAAGCGGATGTAGTTTATCGTCTTACCCAAGGACCTCCAATTTGAATTATAGAATCAATAAAAAAAAAAAAAAAAACTACACCAATTTTGAAAATTATTGTATGATACAGAATGTCCCAAGTGTTATCAATATTTCAATCAAAGCGTTTTTTTTTAATGAACTTAACGCTTCTGGTGCCATTAACCACAAATGAAGAACAGTCGTTTTCACAAACTCTGTAGTAATCTTCACATCCCGGGCATTCTAGACAATCTTCAACCATTTTCTCAATAGACCCAAAGTTTCAGAGTCTATCATATGTGATCCTCAAAGTCATCTCATCCTCAGATAATGGAAAACTCTTCGCCATGAACTTTGCCTCTAATTCAACGTTAGACCACATAGGTCAGCTCCATCCTGATTTTCCCTCTCTCACGGAGCACAAACTTAGTATTATTTTTATCACAGCTCGAAAAGTCTCAAGTCTTATCAAAAGCCTTGACCCTAAAAGGCTACAGTTAGATAACATCTCAGGGGTTGTCCTTAAGAATAATAACCCTGAGTTATCATCGATATTAGCAAAACTATGTAAGCGCTGTTTGAAGGAGAAATCACTCCTAAGTCTGTGAACAGTCCCAAGTGCATGTAAATATATGTAAAGACTTAAATGGGAAAAAACCTAATATTAGTAAGAATTAAAAACATTGACGTCAAGAATGACGGCATGTTTAAACTAATATTAATATAAAGTTTTAACGGAGACAAAGTGGGGATGTTTTTTAACTGCTATTAAATAATAAATTGACCCCCTCCCTTAAATTAATACATAGATGATCTGTCTGAAAAGTAACGGTACTGATCACGTTCTTCGATGTGAGAGGCATCGTCCCCGGTGAGTTCTTGCCACAGAGTCAGATGATTAATAATTAAGTCTACAAAGAGATCCTGTGCCGATTAAGGAGGGACGCGTGTCTTTTGGCCGGCGAAATCGTGGCTGCTTTACCACGACAATGAACCTGCTCAGAGCGCCTTGAGCATCCGGCAGTTCCTGGCTGAGAAGAACATCGCCGTACTGGAACAACCTCCTATTCACCTGATCTTGTTCCATGTGATTTTTTTTTCCTTTTCCCAAGCACATAAAGGATCATCAAGGGGAGCCGTTTTGAAGGTTTGGATGTCATCAAGAGTAAAGTAACATCGGAGATGACGAGCCATGAAAGAAGAATCCATCTAGCAGTGTGTAGATGTGTGGCAGAGAAGGATGGAAAATTGCATTTGACTCGAACGCGATAACGTTACAAGGGGAAACCATGTAGTTGTTTGTTTGGAATTGAAATAAATTGTTTGTGCCACCAGTCACATTACTTTTTTTCAGACAGACCTCGTATTAATGTGACAATTTTTGAAAAATATATTTAAAAACTAAAATGCGAAAACTAAATATTAGTAAGGACTTAACAAAAATATGGCGCCTTTTTATGATATTGGTAACGTCATCTATGTATATAATATCCATATATATATATATATATATATATATATATATATATATAGAGAGAGAGAGAGAGAGAGAGAGAGAGAGAGTTGGATAAATCATATTTGGTGCCTGATGAGTTGGTAAAACAACGAAACTTAAGTCGCACTCAAACGTGTATATATATATATATATATATATATATATATATATATATATATATATATATATATATATGTATGTATGTATGTATGTATGTATATATATATATATATTACTTTTTAAGGGGGGAAAACATGTAGTTTGTTGTTTGGTATGGAAATTATTTTTTTGTGACACAAGTCCCGATAAAATGCAGATCTTATCAAAATTACAATGAGTTTGTCTTTGTAATTCATACCTGTGGAAGACATCGAAATACTTGGGTAAGAAAAACTACGGCACCTTCTTTGATGAATTTCATCTGAACATGAAGAAACTGGTTAGAGAACATAGCCCCAAAAGAGAAAACAAAAACACTTGCAGAATTTAGTTATCTAGAGTAATTAACTGAAATTAAGTTATGCAATGGCATGTCACGTGGAATTAGAACAATCTATACGCGTAGACTAAATAAAGGATTCAATTCGTAATACCAATTAATATCACTTGAAGAAAGTCCAAGTTTACAACGACCGAAGGAAGCCTCGTGAATATGGCAATAAATATAAGAGCAACAATCCGAACAAAGTAAATAGTTTAAATAGCCACAATACTTCATCTCAGAAATATAGACATACCCTGAAGAAGGCAAGAGCGTACATCGGCCGAAACGTCGTGAATATGGCAATAAAGACGAGGAAAACTCTCCGAATAATGTAAATAGTTTAAATAGTCACAATACTTCATATCAGAAATATAGACAGATCCTGAAGAAGGCAAGAACGTACATCGGCCGAAACGTCGTGAATATGGCAATAAAGACGAGGATAACTATCTGAATATTGTAAATAGTGTAAATAGTCACAATACTTCATATCAGAAATATAGACGGATCCTGAAGAAGGCAGGAGCGTACATCGGCCGAAACGTCGTGAATATGGCAATAAAGACGAGGAAAACTATCTGAATAATGTAAATAGTGTAAATAGTCACAATACTTCATATCAGAAATATAGAGAGATCCCGAAGAAGGCAAGAGCGTACATCGGCCGAAACGTCGTGAATATGGCAATAAAGACGAGGAAAACTATCTGAATATTGTAAATAGTATAAATAGTCACAATACTTCATATCAGAAATATAGAGAGATCCCGAAGAAGGCAAGAGCGTACATCGGCCGAAACGTCGTGAATATGGCAATAAAGACGAGGAAAACTATCTGAATACTGTAAATAGTGTAAATAGTCACAATACTTCATATCAGAAATATAGACGGATCCTGAAGAAGGCACGAGGAAAACTATCTGAATACTGTAAATAGTGTAAATAGTCACAATACTTCATATATCAGAAACGGTCGGAATCGGCCGAAACGTGGCAATAAAGACGAGGAAAATTATCTGAATAATGTAAATAGTGTAAATAGTCACAATACTTCATATCAGAAATATAGACAGATCCTGAAGAAGGCAAGAGCGTACATCGGCCGAAACGTCGTGAATATGGCAATAAAGACGAGGAAAACTATCTGAATAATGTAAATAGTCACAATACTTCATATCAGAAATATAGACAGATCCTGAAGAAGGCAAGAGCGTACGTCGGCCGAAACGTCGTGAATATGGCAATAAAGACGAGGATAACTATCCGAATAATGTAAATAGTTTAAATAGTCACAATACTTTATCTCAGAAATATAGACAGAAGTTTTATGAAGTATTTAGATTATTTTTATTTGTTATTTATTTATTACTTGCCTGTGATTTTGGTTCAAAATCAAGTAATAATCAACGAATGCTGATTTTCAAAGATGACAGGCAAGTATTTCACTTTGTGTTTTGTTCTTTGCGTCAAACGAAGCTCAGGAGAAGGCAAGGTAAAATTGCCTAAAGCGTCGCTAGTTGTCTGTTTAAGAAAAGAATACAATTTTTCCAAAGCATTAGAAATAATTTTTGCTCTTTTACAAAGAAGCCAAGAAAGAAGTCTGCGAATAAAAGACAAAAATCTTGATGTCTTCTTTCTGAAAACTTACCTTTTTTTTAATTATGTTTCCTTACATTTTCTATTTGTTTCCATTCCGTTACAGCTTTTTTTCTCTCTGTAGATTTAAATTTCTTTCCAACGGTTGCAATTATTTTTTTTTTGCAGAGATGTCTATTTTTATTTATATATTCTTTTGCTTGATTTTTCTGCCCTTTATACCTAGGCTATAACACACTGTGACACCGGTTCTCATCCGATCAGCGAAGTTAAGCAACGTCGGGCCTGGTTACTACCAAAATGGGTGAGCGGTTGGGAATACCAGGTACTGAAAGTGTGGATGTGCGGGTGTTGTGACGATTAGCAGCTCAGAATGTGAAATCAGAGAGCAGTGTTCAAATTCAAGTCAAGTTCGTTACTTTCTTCTCTTTCGGCTTGTGAAGATTCTTTGTTGGGCACCGGCTCCCCCCCAGATTCGAATCGGCCATTACCGCACCGCGCTGGCCCAATGAATGTTAGTAAATGCGGATGCGACACGCTTGGGTCGTGTCTCTTTTCGATTCAGGGTCGTCCAAGGATATTTGAAGATGTAAGATGAAAAGGTGAATTTATACCCATTCTTAGGGCATTATTGTAAAAGTTAACAAAACGGTCAAGAGCGGAATTTGAACTCAGATAGCCAATTTCATCTCCGTCGCTGGTAACCGTTATGTCACTTGTATATCCATGACGATTTCATATTAATCTGATTTATACAACTGAGACTAAAGATAACCAATATACTCAAATAAGTAGATGATTATTTATATCAACATGGATATGTTAGTCACTTTGAAGTGTGGCTTCCATATGAAGTAAAAACAGAGTTCAAATTCAACTCTTTACTTTCTTCCCTTCGGAACCGTCTTACTTCATGCGATTCGTTTAGTAAAATGTAACAAATATATTCCGGTTTTGAAAACAACTTATCGCGAACGATGAAATGTGGGTACATTACAACAATGAGGAATGCAGAGGATCGTGGGGTAAGTAAAATGAATCCCTATTCATCGCGATCAAAACTGATTTTTATTTCCAAATGATAGTGTTGTATAATGCACTGGTCTGCAAAAATAATAGGTGAATTATTGTCCTATGATAGGTACAATCCATATTTTTTTTCTGCGAAGTGTTGAACACACCTAATATATACACTTAAACAAATTCACATTTGCGGTTTCTCTCCTTTTGTTAAAAATATACTTTTTTCTCACGTTGGAACAATTATACTCTTTTCCATATATATATATATATATATATATATATATATATATATATATATATATATATATATATATATACCTGGTGTCACAGCAAAATTGGTCAAATTGTGTAACAAGAAAATTGGCCAATTTTAGATTAACATTTGAACCGTTGTATCTTAGCAGTGATTAAATATATCTTAGTGGAATTCTCCAAGGTTTTTATAACACTACTGGACTCTACTTTAAACAATAAGAATGTATTTAACTCTAAGTTGAAAACATGATTCCTCTTCCTGTTGTGACCACCTGATTCAATTAAAATAAAACTAGTCTCTTTTAATCCTATGAAAGAACAGTTTTTGTCTTCCAACACCGTGGATTATGCTAATCTTCAGAAGACTAACTCTTTGAAACGTCTTGGGCTAAAGTTTTCTACTGACATTAAGCGAAAAGAATATGTAGAATCAAATGCTAGGTCTAGAAAGATGATTCACTGTGTCATGCTAGACAATTTTCATGCCAGAATCTATTTTCCAGACTTATAAGTCTACCATTCGGCTATACATTGAATATTACTGCCACATCTGGTCTGATACTTCTGCTATTTATTTAGAGATTCTTGATAAAACACAAAGAAGAATCTACAATGTTACTGGTCCTCGCCTGGCTATCACGGCTTCAATGATATTCCCACCAATCTAATGTAGCTTCCCTCTGTCTTTTTTATAAATATTTTCATTGTAATTGTTCTCTTTGATATCTTGACATCATGAATTTAATTTCAGTACTATATTGGCAGCAAGGTCTCATCATTTTATGGCTAAAACGTCTAGATGTAACCGTAAGTTCTATTCTAATTCTTTTTTCTGTTGCACTTCTCGCTTGTGGAACTCTCTTCCGCTTTATTGCTTCCCTGTCAACTTTGGTAATCTTTCTTTGATGAACTTTCCCCTGTGGTACCTAGACTTTCTAAACTTTAGCGCAGTACTAGACTGGCAGCAAGATTTCATCATTTTACAGTTAAAATGGCTTGATATAACTGTAAGTTCTATTCGGACAGTTCCTTCTCTCGCACCTATTGTTTGTAAAACCCTCTTACGGCATCCATGTTTTCCAGATTTAAAAAAGTCAAATGGACTGTCAACCGGTTCATTTATTGTTTTGTCTCCATAGTAATTGGTTTGCTTTTATCATATTCTCGCACACACATAGCATCTTGCATTTTAGTCGATTTATTGCCATGTTTGAGAGAAAATTACACACACACACACACACACATATATATATATATATATATTATAAATTAATTGATTTAAAATATGTTTTTTTCCGCTACACAGTTCTAACCATGTTTCAAAAATGGAAGCTAAAAGCCACGAATTTAATTTTACAATTAAATTAAAGACATTACTTCCATTTCATCCTCAAGCGAATTTTGGAGTAACTTTTAAAATTACTGGGTTTTAAAGACACAGCTAAAATCACGTTTCCATGGTTACAGATAAATCTACTTCAACTGGACAAGGGGTGTCTGGGTTTTCCTTATGTCTGCATCATTGTATCGGTTATTAGCTACATTTTGGTAAGGGGTAATGCTCTATAAATTTACATTGAGCACTATTTTGTAAAAATAAAAATATCTATAAGAACACCGGATTATATATCCTACTGTTCTTTCTTTATATATATATATATATATATATATATAGAGTATTTACATTAGTCGGACTATTGTCCTCATCTTTGTTGCCATATTTGTCACAAAGTTTCGGCCGTTGTATGCTCCGGCCTTCTTCAGGTGGTTGGAATTTCGAACTGAACCCCTTATTTCGATCACTGGGGTAGACTGTTCTAGTTCCACGTGCCATGTATATATATATATATATATATATATATATATATATATATATATATATATATATATGCTATTTCTAACAATTTTCGACAGATACGTGCAGGCAACATAAAAATATTAACTTACGAAAACTAATACAGAAACTTCATGTCTCAAGCATAAAAATATATTCATTAAATCAAATATTTTCATTGTTGGAAATATTGCGTTAAATGTATTTAAAAATTAATCAACACAAAGCCTGAATCTTCATAATGCCGGCAACGGATTTACGTGTCTTGTAAGCGGCTTGCAAACGATGTTATTAGCACAGTGAAAGCATTTAAATTTATAATGCACTAGACACCGAACACCATGATAGGAAAAACCAATATATTAATTTACTATAATAAAAGCAGAAGTAATGTTTCTATACAGTATTTGCCTAGTTAACGTCAATGAGAAATAACCTTCCGAGAGCATTTGTTAATTAGTGTCTGTTTAAAGACCTAAAAATTAAGACCAATGTAATATCTGGTTTGTAATACCCATTATCATCTACTAGCAGTAGAGGCCGGCGTTGCCCGGGGATGTAACAGTAAGAGATAGATCAAGTATCGACCATCATAAAGACTGAAAAATAAAATTGACTATTATATTATTATTGTTTAAGGTTGACGAACACGCATGTCTTAATTAGTTTTTTTGTTTTGTTTTGTTATTTTTTTACGAATTGGTCAAACCCAAACTCAAACAAAAACATTGTTTTCAATCGTTATGAGTCTACCGATTGAATAGAATTTTATTATAAACAATTGTCTTGTAAATGGAATTTTTAAAGCATTCTGAATGTAAAAATAAAGAAAAAAGTGTGCAAGACAATAAGAAACACTACCTGCCAAAAAAAGTGAAGTTTTGCTGAAATCGGTTGAAAAATGTAGGAAATCCGATCCAATATATAAACGAACACACACACACACACACACACACACACACACACACACACACACACACGCACGCACGCACGCACGCACAAAGAACCTTGGTTTTATAATAAGTATAACTCGTTATGAGTTGTCCCCCTTTCATTCTCGCGATAGCGATGCCTCTTAATTGTGTTTTCAAATTGATTTCGTGCAAAAACAATTGTGTTTTTCCAATTTTTGCCGCAAGGTAATTTTACGTAGTCCTGTGAAGTTTTGTGGAAATCGGTTGAAAAATGTAGGAAATCCGATCCAATATATAAACGAACACACACACACACACACACACACACACACACACACACACACACCTAACCTGGGTTTTATAATAAGTATGATAATGATAATAAAAATTATCTAATATATACATTGGTCAAACAACTATAACATTTTCTCATTGACTAATATGTCATTTATAAAATGACCTTTCGATAAAAAACTAGTAGTAATTGATGTAGCATCAAATGTCATCATATTCTTACCATTAGTAAGCAGATATGCGTGTAAAGCATGAAGATAGAATTACCATGAATTCAAAGAAACACTTGATGCCAGAAGACATTAAAATATCTTTAATCTTAGGAACTGGCGTATTATATATGTTCAATAATTTAATCTTTAATATTAACTAGCAACCATGCCCAGCTGGTCGATCAGAAAAAGCGTTCAATTAGAATGAAGCAAAAACAGGATCAGGTTTAGATGTAACAGAATCTATCTTTTTTAATTACTTTAAAGTAGTTTCATTAAAAAAACATTTTGAATTAATGCAGTTATTGATATAACAGAACTCGTCTGTATTTATTCAATCGAAGTTAACCGAGGACATGAAGGTGTAAAACAGGCAACATGAAAACCACTTCAGACCACAATTAGTTTGGAGTTTTTGAAATCCAATTTGCTACCAGGGATGAAAAAGAGGATACATTTATAAAGAAATTTTTATGTTTAATGAAAATTGGTTGAAAGATCAACAAAAATAAGAAAGAAACCAATAAAAATCGCAATGTTTCGCTATTTACGCGGGTTTTAACAATGTGGGTGAACTCAATAATCAAGTTAAATAACTGTTAAACAATTAACTTATTGTTGGCTTCAATTGAGTGAAGTTTGTATTAGACTGCTTGAAAACTGAGGAAGGTTTTAGTTTAAAATTTATGTTGAAAATGATTTGTGTTCAAATCGATTTTTCGTTTTTCACGGTTTTTTGCTAAACGCGGTCGCGTAGAAATAAAAATGAGGTATTGTTGAGCTCGTCATGATGTAAGTAATCTACATACCGAGTTTGAACGAAATCGGAGGAAAAAACTAAAACTAAATTTATTTTTAAATTTCAAAACTATAACTTAATTCCGTTTTTATTCATGATCAACAATGTTTGGAGGCGTTTGAATGGATTTATGTGGATGGATATGCACATATTTAAACAAAACATCTGATATCCAGCATAAAACAAGGGAAAAGTATTGAAAAATGTTTGAAATAAAGTTCGTTTTTTCTTTTTTAAATATCCTTCTGAAAAAAAAATCGACAATATATGTTATTTTTTATCCTCCTATATATATATATATATATATATATATATATATATATATATATATATTGTTATGGGACATAATCCATAATAACATAATAAACTATTCCATACGTAATAAATACTGCGCCTCAAGAGGAAGCAGGGAGTTCAGTTTGAAGTCTGTCAAGAGTCTGTCAGTCAGAGCGAGCGAGTCAGTCGAGTCAGAGGCAGTCCGAAACAGAGTCGCGTTCAGACAAATACTGCAAGACATTGGAATAGTGATACTGGTCGAGACTACATTGTTCTCTCTACTAAACCTGATTGTTCATACTAACACTTCTACTTCTCTGTATATATTCCTGTTTGTAATATATCTGTGTTATTCCATATCCGTGTTCGAGTTCTACTTTATTGGTTCTACCTTGGACCATCATCGTGGTACAAGAACCTGGACCACAACAAGTGGCGACGAGCGATTCGAATTCATTCGGTGGAAAAAAAAATTTGTTCGCCACAGCATAACAAGTGGCGACGAAGATTCGAACTCACACGTGAAGTACAAAACAACAAAATCCCTCTCTCGTCAACATATATATATATATATATATATATATATATATATATATATATATATATATTGTAATACCGCTAACCAACGTAACTAAATACTAAATGGTATAGCACGTCAGGCTATATATCGGTTCCGTGTAGGGCACAGGTTCGATACATTTTTTTTTATTGATAGGACAGATCTTATTGGTGTAATGTTATATTTAGCGGATACCCATATTTAAATAGACGTTCCGGTCCTAATATTCGTGAAATCTAAGAAACTATTCAAACTTGTTTGATCGGAGACTCACTCCGTGGCTGCGTCTCTGTAAGCACATCAATTCAATTCAATTAATAAATAAAAAGTAATTTTTTTCTAATATATCACGTTTTCTGGCTAAGATAATACACCAAGGAAACAGTATCTGTCTATATTTCTGAGATGAGGTATTATCTACACTATTTACATTGTTTGGACTATCGTCATCATCTTTGTCGCCATATTTATCACAACGTTTCGGCCGTTGTACGCTCCGGATTTCTTCAGGTGGTTGGAATGTCGAACTGAACGCATTATTTCGCTCACTGGAAAGGCGGTGGAGAACTTGGAGAGGGGAGATAACTGATAAATGACATCTGTTAGACCTGGCACGTGGAACTAGAACAGTCTACCCCAGTGTGCGAAATAAAGGGTTCAGTTCGACATTTCAACCACTTGAAGAAGGCCGCAGCGTACAACGGCCGAAACGTTGTGATAAATATGACAACAAAGATGAGGACGATAGTCCGAACAATGTAAATAGCCTATCAAGAAAACAGTATTAAAATTTATCCTCTTTAAGGGCCTTAATAAAATTTTATTATAAAATTTAATTCTAATTTAATTTTATATTTTACTGAACACACACATTATCAGGAATTATAATTAGAAATTAGGTATATATATATATATATATATATATATATATATATATATATATATATATATATATAATATTAGTGGTAAATATACATATACATATGCAAAATATATAAATATATATACATACATGCATACACATATATATTTTTTTGAATAAAAAAATTCCAAGAGGATAGAATCCAGGTAGAACTCAATGTCCACGACAGTGTAAGAATATAATAAAACGGCTTAAACACTAATATTCAATGGTCATAATTTATTCCATTTTTTTTATATGTTTATATTTGATTTGTAACCTGTAGTCGATATTAATATTGTCAAATTTTCTTAATTACACAGCGGCCCTTTCAGTAAATGCACTTCAGTTTTAGTTTTCCCCGCCCCATCTCTCTGAGTCACCCCTTTTTCTTTTCTTTTCCTCTCACTCCCTCTTCTTCTGATCTTTAAGATTAGATCGTCTTTTGTGTGTGTATGTCACCACAAAATGTAGCCTTTCTGGTTACATCCTTAATGTATTAGATATCCGACTACATTCATATTTCTTTCACTTAAACCGTCTTTGACTCCCCTCTCTAAAACTTCTCTCTGTTAAGTTTTAATCTCTCACCTTCTCTCGTCTGTTACCCCTCTCTTTAGCTGTAACATTCGTCCTACACTCTCATACACTCTCTCTAAATTCTATTTTTTATTTCCGGAGTTGTTTTTTCTGTTTTCTTTTTGAATTTGTAGGTCTGATGAATTGGATCGTATTTATGATTCCAATGGAATAAATTATGACCATGGAATATTAGTGTTTAAGCCTTTTTATTACATATATATATATAGCGAGGGAGAGAGAGAGCGAGAGAGAGAGAGAGATTTCATTGTCATGGACAGATAGATTGATTGATAGATGCTTTATTGTAATAGATAGTGTTGTGGTGTCCCCCCCTCTAAAATGTTAAACTCTTCCGCCTACTACAAGATTAGAGAAGGCCTTGGGGGAACAGTCGAATTGAACGCTGAGTCAACCAACACACACTCACTAGTCGTGTAATACTCTTCTGTTGTACTTACTGTTTAATATATGATATCTCTGTAACACTTGTTTTGTTATTTCTTTAACCATTTACTTGGTCACAACATCTTGATTGTTCCCCCAAGGCCATCTCTCCTACTAATCTTATAGTAGGCGGAAGAGTCCAACATAGACTCTTTAGAGGGAGGACACCACAAGAGATAGATAGCTAGATACTTTATTGCAACAGATACATACATACATACATAGATGGGAACTTTATTGTGATAGATAGATAGATAGATAGATAGATAGATAGATAGATAGATAGGGAACAGAGTGAGATAGATAGATAGATAGATAGATAGATAGATAGATAGATAGATAGATAGATAGATAGAGGGGAACAGAGTGAGGAGATAGATAGATAGATAGATAGATAGATAGATAGATAGATAGATAGGGAACAGAGTGAGATAGATAGATAGATAGATAGATAGATAGATAGATAGATAGATAGATAGGGAACAGAGTGAGATAGATAGATAGATAGATAGATAGATAGATAGATAGATAGATAGATAGATAGGGAACAGAGTGAGATAGATAGATAGATAGATAGATAGATAGATAGATATGTGTTTATTTATATTTTTAAAAAGTAGCCACTTCGAAGTGGTGTAATGGTTAACAAGCTTCTCTCGCTAGAACAATTACGAGTGAGTTCGATCTTCACTGGGTTCCCAATAATTTTGGCCTTGTACCACATCTAATCACAACGGAGAAGATAGTATAATAAATCACCATGTTTCTAAAAACGTTCAGGCCGATGTGTGGAAGCATAAAAATATTAATTTGCAAAACTTACAAAAAAATAATATACAAAATACTTCATGTTTTGGACATAAAAATCAAAAACAGATGGGTAAGTCAAAAATTATCTGCACTTTTATAGAAAGACAAGTTGTGGCAACAACGCGGAATTAATTTTTTGACTTACCTTGTGAATACATTAAATAAAATAGCTTTAATTTTGGAAAGTATTGTATTAAATAAATAATTAAACAGCGCACAGATTCAGTCATCATAATACCGCAAGAGGATTTATGGACGTTGTAAGCGGCTTGCAAACGATGCTAGAGACACGGTTTTAGACATCATATAAGTATGTAATGCACTAAACACGAAATATCATGATAGGAAAATCTCAGGCATTAATGTTTTCTTGAATTTCATATACCATGAGATACATTGTTGCCGAAAATGACCAACATTGTCTGGAAGACTTTGGAAATATTTTTACAGAAGGTACTGATACTCATGGAAAAGAGTTATTCATTGTCTTGTAATAATAATAATAATAATAATAATAAATGCTGGAATATGTGCCTTTCAGTAAAACGTAATACGGAGGGCTGTACTGAAATATCTTTCCAAAAATCTTTATCAAAATATTTTAAATTCCTCCTTAAGGCTGAGAACTTTTCAGCACCCACTCATATATACAGAGTGTACCCGCAAAATGACACCGCTTTGTAGTCTAGTAACATAGTTAATTCTCGCTCAAATGATTTCATTTTTTTTAACAAAATGTCTAAAGGTGACTGTGCAAACTTATCTCACTGAGAATCTACCAGGAAGATGAATCGGGCGTGCCAATGTTAATGACAATGTGCTGCTGAAATGGCCACCAGTTTCACCTGACTTGACTCCATGTAACTTTTTTTTTCTAATGGCTTATGTGAAAGGACAGTTCTATATCCCCTTTCTTTCTACAAGCCTAAAGGAACTTCAGCAGAGAATCCCCGAGGCGCTGGAGAATGTTATGCATGACATGCTACAGAGTGATTGACAGGAGCTGGACTACCGACTTGACGTGAGTCGCGTCACAGGTGGTATGCATATTGAACAGTTGTGAAGCTTTGTGAAATCGGTTATAAAACCTACACCCCTTTGAATATCTTGTCCGAAGTTTGATAAATAAATCTTTCATTGTTCAAAATGAAGTCTATTTAGTGTTGTTTGCTTGGGACATGTAGTTACGCAGATATTCACATTTAAAATAATGTAATTTTTAGAGGGAAACACTATATATATATATATATATATATATATATATATATATATATATATATATATATATATATTGGTCGAGTTTCGATCCTGGCTTCAAACAATTGGATGTTTATCACACTGTTGAGCTGTGATACAGCGAAACAGTCTGTCTGAATGAATATATATATATATATATATATATATATATATATATATATATATATATATATATATATATATACACACACATATATATATGCACACACACACACACATATATATATCTAAATATCTATATCTATATCTATCTATATCTATCTATCTATCTATCTATCTATCTATATGTATATATATATATATATATATATATATATATGCCGCCATTGTCCACCATTGGCCTTAAAATATAGTTAAATCAATTTTCATAAAAAGTTACGTATTATAATTGTATAGCCAATATTTTATTAGTATGTAATGGTTCGCCCAGCATTTATTTGATTTATTCAACTATAATATTGTCAAGTTTTACCGTTTATTCAGTATAATTAACAACCTATATAGATGTTTCCAGATTTTTAATTTTATCCATCGGCCCCTTTAAGAAACTTCTTGAGTATATTAATTTTTTTTTTTAAATCGGTTTCTGATAAATTTATGACTACTTCAACAAATCGGCAACTCATACTTGGATACACCAATAAGACCATTTTGTCGCTGTAATTGTTCCCTAGTATCGTTGAATGTCATGTCTAAGCACCAGTTTTCTTGACATGCAAAAATAACCCCCCACCGCCACCCTCTGACCTTATTTTTATATTTTAGCGTAGATCTGACGTTTAATTGGTTAATCTAGACATACCCATAAGTATAATTTTAATTCTGACCTTATGCCTCTCTTTAACTTACAAAAAGAGGTAACGATTAGTTTTTAAATTTCCCTAATAAATCATTTTTATCACAGGTTATCTACCATCGCCGTAAGTAGTACCATCTTAGTGATGAAGGGTGTGTATCGATGTAAAAAATTCTATTGTATATATATATATATATATATATATATATATATATATATATATTTGAAGATATAACCTACTAGGGCGGGGAGCGATTCCCTGTTATAGACGCCTGCTCAGGCACATTTGTGTTTGTTCAACACCCACATATCCCAACTAGTTACAGTTTCTGGAGGAAGTGCGTTTTCGTGAGATTAATAGTCTCAACAAGGCCAGCAGCCTCAAACGCTCAGTCACGATGACTTTGATTTCATGCTAGCACAGCCATCAACGGCTCCCAAAGATTTCCGGCAGCTCAGTTTCACTCACCAATAAGTCAGCTTCTTGACAAATCGACCATGGTGCAATTCGGACTTGGGTCTCATGGTCATCAACCACTAACCACTCTAAACGATAAAGCGCGAATTTGTAAACAGTGACTATTACTGCTAACAATGCAAGGCACTCCCAACCAATTGAGTTCTCTCAGTCACTGGCGTGTTTATGAAAAAATAAATACGCAAAAATTCGCCAAATTCGGGCTTTGCCGGGCGCCGATAGCCTAGAGTTTAGAATCTCCGACTGATGCCAAATCGGTCGGGTTTCAGTCTTAGTTTGAAGCGATCGGATGTCTAGCTACATTGATGAGCTGCGATGCAGCGAAACAGTCTTTCTGTGGATAACTATATATATATATATGTATAATTTAACGAAATCTTAAACGACAGAGATCAGTTAACCAACTTGATTACTACATCCCGAATACGAGTCAAAATCCTAATTTAAGTAGAGAAATCTTGTATATAAAGAGAGAGAGAAAAGAGAGAGAGAGAGAGGGGGCGGGACAAAGAGAAAGATAGTCAGAATGGGTAATATAGACAGGAATAGAACGATGCAGCGATACGAACAGAGAGAGAGAGAGGGGGGGGGAGATAAAGAATACAGAAAGAGAGAAAGGGAAAATTTTAACGTTTTTTTTTTCTATACGAAATACGCCATTGTTCCAGAGAGCTTAATTCAGTTGAAGAGCAATGCGTTAATCGCAGCAGGGGCCACTGTTTCGCTGTTTCACAGCTTTTCAGTGTGGCTAGACGTCCGATTGCTTCAAGCCGAGATCGAAACGCGATCGATTTGCCATCAGTCAGAGATCCTAACACTAGGCCATCGTCGTACGGCACACACACACACACACACACACACACACATACAGAAAGGAAGAGATTTATGGATGTAGAAAGTCAGATAGATAGATAGATAGATAGATAGATAGATAGATAGATAGGAATAGACTGAAGAAAATGCGATAGATAGATAGATAATGATTAAAGGGAGATAGATAGATATTAACAAACTTATATATATATTAACAGATAATTTTAATGACGTAGGGTGGCCGTCAATAATAAAGTATAGCTCACGGCTTCAACCTTAAAATAAAACAATATTTAATTACAATTGCAAATAAATACTTAACAAGAACAAAGACTTAAAAGTCAACCAAAGATAATTAACCATTTCAGTGAATACCTTGTTAATAGCGGGGCTTGGCTTAACGTCCGGTAAATCTTTAATTAAAACCCAAATCATCGTCTCACAATAATTCACACTAATTCGACTGGATAGTTCCACTCAATAATCACTACGGTCAGTAGCCTGACACCGCTATTTATACACCTGTCGGAAAACATATATTCATAAGTCCAGTGTCATGCTAGAACCTCGTTGTCGGTAGTTACTCATTTTTTCCCTATATAACAATAATGAACCGGTTGATATATATATATATATATATATATATATATATATATATAGAGAGAGAGAGAGAGAGAGAGAGAGAGGGGGGGAGAGTGAGATAGATAGATAGATAGATAGATAGATAGATAGATAGATAGGAAACTGACCCGAATAGATAGATAGATAGATAGATAGATAGATAGATAGATAGATAGATATGTTGCAATAAACGTTTTTCAACACAGGACTTTTAATATATTTACACTGTTTTAAATGAGAACAACAATGACGTGTTTTCTCACTGGATTTATTTAACCTCTACAGCTCATACTTATCATTTTATACTTATACTTATCATTATAAATAATTTAGAACACCTCCTAAGGTTCATTATCGAGGGAGATACTTTTAAAAAGATAGGCTATTCAGATGACACTGTGTTGATAACAGATTCATAAGAAAAATTGAAAGAATATTAAACAAAGATGTTCAAGAAAGCAAGAAGAAAGGACTGACTTTTAACTGTAATAAAATGTAATGTATGGTATTATTCAAATAGAACAGCCTAAGATATGAATTACGTTAATATAATACATTGTTATACGTCTGCTAATCCACGTTTTGTCTTCTCTGCCCAACCAAGATAAATCCATAAGGATTTGTTCAATTATTTGATTTAACCGCCAATGTGGTGCTAACCCTAAAAAAGCAAATATTCAGAGGTTGAGAAATGGGAGTAAGTCAACATTACCGGCTTGTATTCGTATAGGGCAATGCAATAATTTGCATACATTCATCAATACGTCTGGTTCCGTGATAGCAGTTACATGTGTTAGATATCCGTCATTATGCTGTGTGTCAATATAAAGACATTTTCTCAATTCTAAGTCAGACAGGTACAACGAACTTTCAGGTGGAGACAATACAAGAGGTCCGAATGTAATTTTTTTAAAAAATATAACCCCATGCAAGGTAGTAAAGCCACTAAGGCACAAGAGGCTACTGGGTATGGAAGAATTAGAAACAGAAACATTAATAATGAGCAGGAAGAGAAAAGAGTAATCAGGAGGACAGAAAATAGCGTTTGACATTGCATTTAAATTTTTGAAGATTAAAATTAGCCGGAAAGCATAAATCCGTAATGGAGTTCTATAAGCGGGAAGTGGGAGAGAAAAAAAACTGTTAGCATAGGACTTGTGGTTACATTTAGCCAATTCAGCTGTAAATTGATGAGATCTCGATGCCAGTGTATGCATTTAAATTTTAAAAAGTTTATGTACCATAGTGAAGAGCATTATTTATTTGTAACATTTACAAATGGTGGCGCAAGGCCAAAATGGAGAATGGGAGAGAGACGATCTTCTTCTGTCCTAACGTTAAACTTAGCTAGCCACAAACACTGACCCAAAGATACAATAATATTCCTTATACCAAAACAAACGCATTCTTACTTTAACATTCTTACTTCCACTATAATTCCTTAGATTCTCCAAGAAGTCCTAGCTAGTCCACATGTGTACAATTCATTGTCCGGGGGGGGGGTAATAAAACAACAATTTAAAATAGAGCAATAATGTGTATTTACAACTTGAAAACTATTTCCAAACAAAATAATGTCAGTAATATAACCCCACACAAACCTTAAAAGCAGCAGAAACATCAGTTACCATAGCGAATAGCTCATTCGAACAATTACCATGAAAGTATTTATAGAAAAAACAACGAAAGGCAACCTTACCGTGGTGGGAAAGTGACTGAAGACGAGGCGCTAGATCAGGACCGATAATATTGCAGATTCTTCTTTGGATTTTATTAAGAACTAGCAGTAGAGCCCGGCGTTGCCCGGGGATGTAACAGTAAGAGATAGATCAAGTGTCGACCATCATAAAGACTGAAAAAAAAAATTGACAAAGATTATTGTTTAAGGTTGACGGACACGCATGTCTTAATTAGTTTTTTTTTTTGTTTTTTTGGGTTTTTTTTTTTATGAATTGGTCAAACCCAAACTCAAACAAAAACATTGTTTTCAATCGTTATGAGTCTACCGATTGAATAGAATTTTATTATAAACAATTGTCTTGTAAATGGAATTTTTCAAGCATTCTGAATGTAAAAATAAAGAAAAAAGTGTGCAAGACAATAAGAAACCCTACCTGCCAAAAAAAAGTGAAATTTTTTTGAAATCGGTTGAAAAATGTAGGAAATCCGATCCCATATATAAACGAACACACAAACAACCTGGGTTTTATAATAAGTATAACTCGATATGAGTTGTCCCCCTTTCATTCTGGCGACAGAATCCTGTTTTATCGTGTTTTCAAATTGATTTCGTGCAAAAACAATTGTGTTTTTCCAATCTTTGGCGCTGTCAGAAACACCATAAGGTAATTTTACGCAATCCTGTGAAGTTTTGTTGAAATCTGTTGAAAAATGTAGGAAATCCGATCCAACATATAAACGAACACACACACACACACACACACACGCAATCTGCGTTTTATAATAAGAAACATCTCTAGAAAAATAGCAGGAGAACCGGCCCATATGTGGCAGTAATATTCTAAGCATGGGCGAATGATATACTTATAGATATGTTGGATAATTTCTAGAGAGAAAAGTTGAACTTTCTTGGGTTCAATACAGTCTTTCCACTTCATGTCAGCTGAGAACGCGAGCCCTAGAAGACGAAACGAATAAAATTTCCTGGTGGTTAGCATCAGCCATGATGATAGAAGACAGAGAGGGATCTATCAGGTGAGTAATGGAGAGAAGTTTAGTTCAAATTAACAAGCCATCTTTTACAACAGAAGCTTCGATACACACACACACACACACACACACACACACACATATATATATATATATATATATATATATATATATATATTGTCACCCACAGGCAGACTGTTTCGCTGTATCACGGCTCTTCAGTGTGGCTAGACGTCCGATTGCTTGAAGCCGGGATCAAATCCCGACCGATTTGGCTATCGTCGCACAGCAGAGAGAAAGGGAAAATTTTAACTTTCTTTTTTTTTCTATACGAAATACGCCATTGCCCCGGAGAGCTCGATTCAATTGAAGAGCAATGCGTTAATCGCAGTAGGGGCCACTGTTTCGCTGTATCACAGCTTTTCAGTGTGGCTAAACGTCCGATTGCTTCAAGCCGAGATCGAAACGCGATCGATTTGGTATCAGTCAGAGGTCCTAACCCTAGGCCATCATCGTACGGCACACACACACACACACACACACACACATATATATATATATATATATATATATATGTGGTCGTTGTGAGCACTGCTTTTAGTTCTTGATTGAGGACTGAAGAGAGAGAAACGGAAACTGGACAGTTCTTTTTCCTAATTTTTTTTTTTTGATTTGCTGCGTATGGTAACTATAATGTTTTCTTTTTACGTTTTTTTGTTTTTTTTTCTCTCTCTCTCTTGTTCTTGTAACGGCATTCACCCGGGGTGGGTTGAGCCGGCTCCAATATTGGAGTTTCATGGGAATTTGGAATTCACAAGCGGTCCCCAACCGCATGTATAGCACATGAGATTTGATTATAGTGGTGAAGGTTTCGTGCAGGACCATCCACACTTTTTTGAAGGGCCGATTACAGAGACCTGGTGCACTACGTGACACAAGGTCCTCAAACGACCCTCCGCAGGTTTTGAATTCAGAGATTTTCCCTTCTCCTAGACCAGTTGCTATAGAACCCAGTCTGTCCTGCTATTTACCCATAGCTGGAGGGAGAAGAAGAGGATTCACACCTTTCCCAAGGATATTAGCACGTAAGTGAATGTAATGGACTCGACTGGAATTCGAACTCGGCTCTCCGATTCCTCTATCCAAGCCGCTATCCATTGCTCCACTTGTTTTTGGCTCTTTGTTTTAAATTGTCTGAGTTAACTGCTTTAATCAAATTTTGTAGGCCGAAGAAAATATTTAATTATATTCGCGTTAAAGAAATAAAAGAATTCAACAACCTCGGCAATAACATTCTAAAGAATCGCCCTTAATAATCGCCAAAAAATATTTTCCTGAACTGACTATGATTGTCAATATCCGAAAAATAACATCAGAGACGGTTAAAAGAGCGCTGGACTGCTATATAACTACAAAGACAGATATGCAATGTGATAGGCCCTGACCTGGCATCTCAACACCAGTTAATTTCTCACAGACGTCGTGTGGCTTCCCCCCCTCCGTCTTTTCTACAAATATTTTCATGGCAACTGCTTTGACAAGCTATTTTCAATGGTGTTCCATCTGCATGAATGTAAGCGTGCTACTAGATTGGCATCTCGGTCACACCATTTTACTGTCGAAACAGTTAAATGTAACCGCCTCTTCTACTCCAACAGCTCCCTCACTCGCACTTCCCGACAGTGGAACTCCCTTCCTCTTACTTGCTTGCTTCCCTGATAACTATAATCTTCAAAAATTTAAATGTAATGTCAGTCGATATCTTCTGATGCCTTGATCATAACCCCCCCATCCTTTTCTATATCCTTTCTCCAAACACCCCCTCTTTACTCTTGCTCTCGCTCTCTGTAACTTCTTGTGTGCTAGGGGAACTCCCGCTTTGCTTGGGGTGAAATGTATATAATATATATATATATATATATATATATATATATATATATATATATATCATAATAAAGCCACGTATACTTTTCTTAATATGTATATATAGAAAAAAGTTCCAAATTAAAAAATAATAATGTTTTATTTTATGAAAATATATATATATATATATATATATATATGATATTTCAAATTGTCCTCAATTTTTCATCAGAAGTAACTGTTTGTTACAAATAAATTAAAATTACTGTTTGTTAGCAAAAAGCGTCCTTCGCGAGACGCGGACGTCACGTGATATGGAACGTCACTGTTCGGATATTCCTAACTTAAATCTAACTGTCATAGATATTTTAAATGTTGTTTAAATTTTTTTTTTTTTTTAACTATATCTAAAAAAAATTGCTTAACTATTGAAATATTTATAAAGATTTAAAACACCTAAGTCCCTATTCAACCCTAGTTTATGTGTATTTAATTTTAAAATCCAATATGTTTCTTTTTTTCTGCGTATGAATGTGGAAGTAAAATCGGAATCTATCAATAAACATTTGCAGTTTTCTAATGTGTCCTGATTGATTGTAGTGTTTAGCTATGGGGGAATAAGGGTTGTTTTGACGTATTGTTTGTTTATGGTTATTGAAACGAAATCTAAAATTGTTTCCAGATTCACCAATATATCCACTATTAGGACATAAGTTGCAGAATAAATAATAGATTACGTTATGGCTATCGCAGGTGAGGTTAGGTGGCTGTATCCTGATATTGGTGTTGGGTACAGAAAATATATTAGCTATTATTAAATGTTTGCAAACTAAGCAACGAGGTTTGTTACATTTGTAATTTCCTGATTGGTTTGTATTGTTTAGATATTTGGTAGAGGTGAGGATATATATATATATATATATATATATATATATATATATATATATATATATTATTGAAACGTGAATAGTTTTTGTCAAAAATTTGAAATCAAGTTTTGACAAGTGAGGAGGGACAGACGATAAGCTCATTTAATATAAAATTTCTTCTTTTTTTCTCTTTCTATTTACTTATTGACAGTCACTACAATTCTTGTTTTCCTTTTTGTTCCTCTTCATTACGTTGGTTTTTATTGCCATAATTAAGTGTCGTGCCTCTCATAAGATCTTAAAAATAGATATGAATTAACCGTTATTGGTAAAATATGCGATGATAGGCTGTAAAAGTTCATAAGCTGACCAAGATATTCTCATGGAACACGCGACAAATGAGGAAGCTCTAAATATCACCGGCACTAAGCGATTTATAATTTTGGTAAACATGACGAGGAGAGTGTCGGAGTTAGCTCCTCCTTAATCTCCTAACTGTTTACTAGGGCACGCTCTCCCTACATTATAAATACTCGGCAATTTATTGCCTCATTCTCTTTATTTCACTTTGCATTTCAGCGGACACACTTAAAGGATGTGATCTCTCGCAGAAATCTGCGTTTTGCCCACTTGTACGTTCCGGCTTTCTTCAGGTGGTTGGAATTTTTCTGTCTGTATCTCTGGGATGAGGTATTATGATTACTTGTATTATTTACATTATTCCGACTGTTATCCTCATTGCCATATTCACAACGTTTCGGCCGTTGTACACTCCGGCCTTCTTCTGGTGATTGGATCTCTGAGATGAGGTATTATGATTACTTGCATTATTTATATTATTCCGACTGTTATCCTCATCTTCATTGCCATATTCACAACGTTTCGGCCGTTGTACGCTCCGGGTGGTTGAAATTTCGAACCGAACCCTTTATTTCATCCGCCGGGATAGATTATTCTAGTTCCACGTGCCATGACTCTTCCGGATGTCTTAGTTATTACCCTTTAACTCAACTCTCCAACTTTCGGTTCGCTACTGCTGTGGCCTGGTATTGAACTCACAACTCTTTGGGTTTTTCACTGGATCTAACCAACGTCTTTATCCACTTGGCCATGAGTCCTTGAGACAGATATTGAAGAAATAAGTGTCACACAGACAGAAATCATAAAGGAATAAGTATTATTGATTAGAAAGAAAGAAATCGTGAAGAGACATGAATGTTCATATCCGTAGTTCTTGGATTATTCATTTATTTCCTGCGAGTAATCTATTAGTTTGTCAGTAGTAATTCCTGCTTCTTGGAATTAATTTTAATGACGAATTTCTAACTGACCGTTCTTTAAATATTAGCTTGGCCAGAAAGTGCTTACTCGCTTAAGAAGCGTAAAGTAAATAAGAAGATTTTGTAGAGCAACACCAAAATTTATTCTTCGAAATGAAATATCGACGATCTTCTGCCATCGATCAGCCAGCATCCGAATCAGTCCCAGATAGGCCGCTATGGCGATTATTTCATACGGCACTCTTTTTATTTTCAAAACAGATATTCCTTGCGGCAAAATTATTTTGTTTTAGGTTTATTAAGCATATAAATTTTTTTCGGTAGAACGTATATTTAAACCAGCCCGATTATTTTATAGAGATGTACTAAGTATAACCTCGATGTGGCACAAGGCCAAAAGTATTGAGCACCCAGTTAGGATGGAACTCATTATTCAGTCGTATTTGATCTAGCAAGAAAAGCTTCCTAACCATGACACCACAACAACGTCTCAGCGATTTACTAAAATTAGGCTTAGATCTGGCACAAGGCCAAATGTATGGCGCACCCAGTGAGGATCGAACTCACTACTCAGTCGTAAATGATCTAGAAAAACAAGCTTCTTAAGCATGACACCACAACAACGTCCCAGCGATTTACTAAAATTAGGCTTAGATCTGGCACAAGGCCAAAAGTATGGAGCCCCCAGTGAGGATCGAACTCACTACTCAGCCGTAATTGATCTAGAAAGACAAGGTTCTTAAGCATGACACCATAACAACGTCCTGCGGATTACTAAAATTAGGCTTAGATCTGGTACAAGGCCAAATGTATGGCGCACCCAGTGAGGACGAACTCACTACTCAGTCGTAATTGATCTAGAAAAACAAGCTTTTAAGCATGACACCACAACAACGTCCCAGCGATTTACTAAAAATAGGCTTAGATCTGGTACAAGGCTAAAAATATGGAGCACCCAGTGAGGATCGAACTCACTACTCAGTCGTAATTGATCTAGAAAGACAAGGTTCTTAAGCATGACACCACAACAACGTCCTGCGATTTACTAAAATTAGGCTTAGATCTGGTACAAGGCCAAAAATATGGAGCACCCAGTGAGGATCGAACTCACTACTCAGTCGTAATTGATCTAGAAAAACAAGGTTCTTAAGCATGACACCACAACAACGTCCCAGCGATTTACTAAAAATAGGCTTAGATCTGGTACAAGGCTAAAAATATGGGGCACCCAGTGAGGATCGAACTCACTACTCAGTCGTAATTGATCTAGAAAAACAAGGTTCTTAAGCATGACACCACAACAACGTCCCAGCGATTTACTAAAAATAGGCTTAGATCTGGTACAAGGCTAAAAATATGGAGCACCCAGTGAGGATCGAACTCACTACTCAGTCGTAATTGTTTTGGCGAGATGAACTTTCAAATCATTACACTACCTCAAAATGCTGTGGTTTGTTTATCTTAAAAGTTAAAAATTTCTACCCGAATGACTATTCCAAATGGTCTATGCATTAATTTAAAAAAATGATAGTACAAATAGAAAGGGGAATCGTGAATTAAAAAGTATTGCTGAAAGTAAAAAAAAAATCAGGAAGTTGTAGAGAGCCATAATCTCCCACTCACTGAAAGTACACAGCACAGAGAGAGAGAGAGAGAGAGAGAGAGAGAGAGAGAGAGAGAGAGGGAGAATAAATCTTTTATAACTGCTAAGAATGTTCACTGAAACAGTAATGTTAACAAAAATATCATTTTTTCTCTTTGTTCCATTTTGCAACTATTTACGGAATTCCTAGGAGACAAAAAATGATAAGTCTACTGGCATTAAACTAAATAAGAGAAATCGAAAAGACATTCCACTCTTTGGTTCATATCAAACAGCTCATCGGTCCAATTTACTGCCTTGTCTTAGGTCTCTGGAATTGGCTGAACGCAGGAAAATTCTATTTTTCCACGTCAACAATATCAATCTCATTTCTGGAATGACGATTGTGGAAGCTGTTTGTAATTGATTTGCAAATTTTACTCTGTTCTTTAACCTACCTTGATTTAACATATATATATATATATATATATATATATATATATATATATATATATATATATATATACATACATACACTACGACCACCTTGTTGTCAAGTATGGGTATCGTAAAATACAATATCAAGTAATGCCAGTCCATTACATTTTTAACGTGGAAAAATACGTTACCCTGTATCAATCCAGCTATACACACACACACACACACACACACACACACACACACACACACACACACACACACATATATATATATATATATATATATATATATATATATATATATATATATATAAGGCTCAAACACTAATATTCCATAATTATAATTTATTACATTGGAATCGTAATCACGATCAAAATCATCAGACCTACAAATTCAAAAAGAAATCGGAAAATAAAACTCCGGGTATAAAAAACAAATTGAGCCTTTTATATTATATTCTTACTTTGTCCTGGACATTGAGTTCTACCTGGATTCTATCATCTTGGGAATATATATATATATATATATATATATATATATATATATATATATATATATATATATCGATTACAGGTGCAGTTTAATTTATAATTATATGAATCATTCATACAAGAAACAAATATAGAGGTTAATGATTTAAATGGCGAGAATACATCTTCGCAAACAATATAAATAAGATACACCAACCCCGAACCTGTATATGAATGATATGATCTCTTTTTATAAATTCCAGTTGCATGAGGTCTTTTTAATTTTTACAAGCTTTCGTCTGTTCCTACAGACATCCTCAGGTATGGAAATAGATTTGTTCTTGTTTGTACTTCTCAGTAATAAGAGGACAACGAAAATAGAGATGTAATCCGAAAAAATGCTATGAGAAATGTGTTATTGTTTTGGAACGTGCGGTCGTAACGCTGAGGTTGAATTTTAAATTTTAAGGTTGCGCGTTTTTGTACAAATATAGCAATAAGAGAATTCTTTTGTTCTGGTAGGTTTTCCGTCGATGTGGCATGAACTATATTGTTCAATAATTACAGAAATGTCACACTTATTATCCGAGAGTTTCACGTTGGATCAGTTATTTTAATTTCGATTATAGGTGCAATTCAATTTATAATTACATGAACCATTCATACAAAAAACAAATATAACAACCTTAAAATGTCATCTTCAGGGTGTTTTTGATTTTGTTTTGTTTTTTCTAAGAGAAAATTGTTGTGTTCATATGAAAGTTAACTTTTTTAAACTGTGAAACGAAAAACGCTAAGGTTATGTACTAAGTGGTTCAAATTTCACTTTTTAAACATCAGGGGAGGTAACTAAGTTTTAAATGTCCATATGTTTAAAAAAAAAATAAGGATACTAAGAAGCATATCCGTGAATATAAGAGGATCCTATTGAAAATAAGTAGACAAAACGTCTTGACGTGATTGGAATTTCGAACCGAATGTAAATAAGGTATGTAATTATAATACCCCATCTCAGAGATATAGAAAGATCACTTTCGTCAGTTTTCCTGGGTGTCTGATCTTGATAGCCTCTCGTAACTGACTCAGCAAGTTGACAAAGTACTCTCTATTGATGGTGTAGCCGTTTTGAAGGTAGTCAATAGACACAATGCCTTTTTGCATCCTCAATAAACAGAGGCCATCAAATTTCTTTCAGATGAAACGAACTTAACCTTCTTTTGAAGCAGGCGTGGAGGAGTGTTTCCACTGCTTGCATTGTCTCTGGATCAAAGTGATTAATCCAACACTCGTCCTGGTTGAGGATAGGTTCAAAGAAATTAGCTGGATCTGCGTCAAAAAATATCGGATTTTCTTATGATGCGATCAGCCTGGTGTACTTTTGATCAGGTTTCATAAGACGTGACACCCACCGAACAGAAACCTTGGTCGTCCCGGTTTCATTGTGAAGAATATTCTAATAGTCAATCCCTTCTCCTTCATCACCATTTGGTGAACATGATCAACGTTTCCCTCGGTGGTGGCAGTTGCAGGACGTTCAGACCTTGGTGGATCATCAAGATTCTTCTTTTTCCTCCTAGATTCAGCTGTCCCTGCACAATCTTACATTGTTGTTAAAGCTGGAGCATCTTCCCCTAATGTAGCTACCATATCAGCATGAATGGCCTTGGATGGTACACCCTTTTTCAGCAGGTACTTGATGACACCACGGTGCCAAAATTAGTTCATTTTCTAGAGAAGTCGCTAATAGTCACATTTGAAGTGTTCTTAATACATATCAGAGTTGAAATTAATATAAGCAAGATGTCACAGCACTACCATCACTTCTTCATTGTCAGCCTATGGATTTTTCAGCTCACCTTCTTATATCTGGCAGCATGAACTGTTAGTGAACTAACAACACAGATAACTTATTTTATCTGGTGGTTCACACACACATACACACATAGTTATTTATTTTAGGATATTCAAATAAAAACATGTTAAAAATCGTTACACGTTTGCAATCATGTCACAACACTACAAATGTGTCTCCCCAGGCAACGTCAAATCACTGGCGAGCAAAAAATAAATAATATTTATCCCTACTGTGTATTGAGCCCTCTTTTAAATTAACTGTTACGTACGGTCGAATTATACTCTATTTGTTCTCATTTAACTGGATATATATATATATATATATATATATATATATATATATATATCCAGTTAAATGGAAACAAATATATATATATATATATATATATATATATATATATATATATATATATATATATATATATATGGGGGTTGTGACAAGTAATTGGTTAAGAAATAACAAAACAAGAGGTTGCTGATAAATAGTGTATTGAACAGTAAATACAACAGAAGAGTGTTACACGACTTGGGAATGTGTGTCGGTTGACCAGCGTTCAGTCTATATTACCGTTCCCCACAGATAGATAGATAGATAGATAGATAGATAGATAGATAGATTCATTTTCTACGGCGTATCGAACCTTTGCAAATTGACAAATAATATTTTTAGATTGTAAGAATTTATTGGCGATAATAATGCTTTAGTTATAAAAATCTTACTAATTAACCCATAGCTGGAGGGGGAAGTGGATTAATAACGTTCCCAAATGTATTTATACTTAAGATAGTATAACAAACACTGCTGAAATTGGAACATGGCTCTCCGATTATCAATTCCGCACACATCCACCTGCACATCCAAGCTTACAGCACCAATTATTCCTAAGTAATCAACCAACTAGATACTGAACAGGTTCAACGTTGCTTAACTTCGATGATCGTAAGTGAACCAATATTTCAACGTTATTTGGCCGTAAGTCCTAAGAGATAGAGGCATAGATAATGAACCGATTTATATTTATACATACTTTTGAATTTGTAGGTCTGATGAATTGGATCCTATTTACGATTCCAATGGAATAAATTATGACCATGGAACATTAGTGTTTAAGCCTTTTTATATATATATATATATATATATATATATATATATATATGTGTGTGTGTGTGTGTGTGTGTGTGTGTGTGTGTGTGTTTGTTTGTACGCGTGTGTGAATAAATATATCACCCTACATCAGCTTAAAACTATCCTCAAAAGGGGCTAAAAACAATATGTAAATTTAAAACATTTTTCTCCCTTGGAAGTGCGGTCTGATGAACCAAGTAAAAATTATATACCTGGAGAAATAAATTATAACCAATGGACCCTTAAGGTTGTCTGTTTTCTGTTTAAATTCAATTAATAATTGCACTGATTTGACATTGAGTTTTGGATTACATCCTCCTTGGGATTATCCATACGGATTACGAAAATTTTTCATTACTTATATATATATATATATATATATATATATATATATATATATATATATATATAATTATTTATTTATTTAAAAATTATAACATAGATATGTTATAAAATCACTACAAAAATAGCCATCTTGTTTCAACACCTTTGGTGTCCTATCAAGTGATGATGTTGAATGTAGATTGTAGAATAAAGGTTTTAAAAGGTTCAAATTAATTAACCACCCCTCATAAGGGGAAACGCTGTCACATGAGCTGAAATGACCAATCAAAAAACAAGTATACGAGAATTCAAAACACTTGACAACCAAGTAAGGTTAGAATAATTATTAAAGTTGGGTTTATACTAAAATAGAATTTATTCTAACTAATAAGTATTAAATTGTACGATAAAATTTGAAATTAGAATTAAAAACTATCCATTTCAAAAATGTATACACCAATCATACACTTGGATATATATATATTTATATATATATATATAGAAAGAGAGAGAGAGAGATAGATGGATGGAAACTGAGATAAGATCGGTAGGTAGGTAGAGACTGAGATAGATAGAGATAGATAGATAGATAGATAGATAGATAGATAGATAGATAAATATGAAGAAGAGATATTAAAATGATCTAGACAGACAGATGAAAATGAGATAGAAGATAGGCAGATATTAAATGATCTAGACAGACAGGTCTGAAATAGATAGATGAGATAGATAGATAGATAGATAGATAGATAGTCTAGATAGATAGATAGATAGATAGATAGATAGATGAAACAGATAAATATGAGATAGATAGATAGACAGACAGATATGAACAGTAGATAGATAGATAGATAGATAGATAGATAGATAGATAGATAGATAGATAGATAGATTAAACATATAGACATGTCTGAAGATAGATAGATAGACAGATAGATAGATCTAAACATATAGACAGGATGAAGATAGATAGATAGATAGATAGATAGATAGATAGATAGATAGATAGATAGATCTAAACATATAGATAGGTCTGAAAGATAGATAGATAGATAGATAGACAGGATAGATAGATAGATAGATAGATAGATAGATAGATAGATAGATAGATAGATCTAAAATACAGACAGGTCTGAAGATAGATGATAGATAATAGATAGATAGATAGATAGATAGATAGATAGATGGTCTAAATATAGATAGATGTCTGAATAGATAGATAGATAGATAGATAGATAGATAGATAGATAGATCTAAACATATAGATAGGTCTGAAGATAGATAGATAGATAGATAGATAGATAGATAGATAGATAGATCTAAACATATAGACAGGTCTGAAGATAGATAGATAGATAGATAGATAGATAGATAGATAGATAGATAGATCTAAACATATAGATAGGTCTGAAGATAGATAGATAGATAGTAGATAGATAGATAGTGAACATAAGGAGATAGATAGATAGATAGATAGATAGATAGTAGATAGATAGTGAACATAGATAGATAGATAGATAGATAGATAGATAGATAGTCAGGCATAAGCATACATCATTGGTAGCAAATGGCAATTTTTTAAATATCTATTTTGCTTGTTTTGCAGCTCGTGTCTCCCTTGCATAGAAATCGATGTGTCTTTTTTTCCGACCAAATCGCCCACGAAAAGAAAAAAAGTAACTTAAAATTGTTCCTTTTAAAATAAAGCGTTGCAAACAGTCTATCATCTGGAGAGAAACAAGGTTATCCGGCGGAAATGACCTTTTGAAAGACATCAAATTCGAAATAAAGACTGCTACTCGGCTAATACCACCTTTACCACCATCTTTCACTGAGAGAATAGCCAAATAGAGACGCAGAAGCCCCAGAGTAGCCGTTCTCGAAGTCTACTGGAGAGGAAGACGCCTGATAGTAAATCTAATAAAAGATGACCAGTAGTAGATGGCCGGGAAATGGTCACTTCACTTCATTTAAGCATATGGCGTCCGGTGGCGACGGCCAAGAATTGGAAATCATACCACAAGGGAAAAACAGAAAGAAGACATTTTTATCTAAAGATGGCCGTTGCTAAAATGGAAAAGGGAAGTAATTGTGATAGACACTGCAATGATGCCGGCAGCGAAAATTAAAGTTGCCCAGTAATCGAAGGTGTAACGACACTTTCGGGCTGACTCTATATAGGAACGCTGTAAGTCAGGGAGAATAAATAAGGTGATGGCGAGGGATAAGGGGAAAAGAAAAAGAAGGCCCGTGTCAAAATGGTACGCAATGATAGGGCAAACTTTATTAAGAGGAAACGTGGGGGGGAAGAAAAAAAAGGCGGTAAACCGAGTTACATTTGCTGTGACGTGGGAAATGAGAGGAAAGCGAGAAAATCTGTTAGAAAAGCTTCAGTAGCCGTTTGTAAAGGTCTGCGTTCGATGAATATAACACTTTCTAGCAATGCTGATAAAAAGAATTTTTGGCTTGAGAAAGTCAAAAGGGCACAGATTAAATTGTCAGTCGCAGCTCTCTCACAATAAGAAAAAAGTTATAAGAATAAACAGAAGATTTATTATCATTACTTTATTTCCTTTAATTTCTGGTGTATACAGTATTTCTTTCCGGGTCCCAACCAAAGACTACGGTCAGAAATGGCATCATGACATTTTACACTGAGTATTTTTTGAGCCAAAAACACACACGCAGACACCGAAGATCACGCATATTTTACATAGATAAAGCCCTTCTTAACCTGAAGGCTGTACTTGTAAGTACAATGTTTTGTATTTTGATAAGGGATAGGCTACAAGGAATCCCTATTCTTTAAGACACGGGCTACAAAGAATCCCTAGTCTATTGGAATCTTTTTCAATCAATCCGAAGGCTCCAACTACAACTGGAGTTGTTGATATCTTCATGTGTCACATTTTGGAGATTTCGATTTCAGGGTCCTTGTATTTTGATAGTTTTTCTTTTTAAGATCGTCAAAGATATATTACAGTCTTCAGAGACTGCCATGTCAATAAGAAAGCACTTTCTGTTCCGAGGTCTTTGATCGCAGTGTCTGGGCGATTAAGTTTGATTCTGTCTGTATGAATTGTAAAGTTCCATAAAATTGTTACAGTTCCTATCTCTGTAACCGGGTCTGTATAAGTCCCACCTATCTCTAAGACTGTTAATAATCTTAGACATAGGTCTGATTTATGTTTAGAAGAAAAAAATTAGAATAATAAAATACAATAATCGAATTCAACTATTGAATCAGAGGAATGAATTAGTGTTAAAATATCGACATAAAAACAAATTCAAATTTCCATAATATAGGTTTAATAGATGTTTAACTTAATTTGCTACCATATTTCCATAATATGCACTCACCTTTAACTTTTCGACATTATAACTAATTTTAATTTTCTATATCTTATTTCCTCACCCTCTATAAGCCCTTTACACTATATTAATTATAATCTATAAACTTTCCCCTAATCTAAGATGTCCCCAACTCTTTGAATTAATCTCTTGCATCCTTTTATCTATATATTTTAAATTTACATTTAAGCCCCTTTTTATTCTTCTTTTAATTTTAAATTAACATTTCATTCTTTATATAACCTCAAATGAATACCATAAGTTTAATATTCGGGTTTAATTTTATAAAATTCTTCCCCTTAATAATTCACTCTATAGACACGAATTCAGTCTACACAGGGGTTGATAAGACAGACCACCAATATCTTCGTTTGCCGAAACAGGCTATTCCCCATATGAAATCATTTTGGATTTTATTGTTTATATATATATATATATATATATATATATATATATATATATATATATATATATATTTGATTGGATTGATGTGAGTTTGTGACCCTGGGTTTCACGCTTTTGCGATCTTCAGACTAACTGATTAATTTTTTTTAAATTTTGGGTTTATGTAGATTGCGTGTATTGGTGTTATTATGGAAGTGGGGGGGGGAAACGTCGTCGTTGTGTCATCGTGCTAACGCAAACATCGATGTATGTTCATACGCCCAATGAAGTACGCAGACACACATACACACTTGGTCGTCCGTCGGGACTCATACATATATAAACATATGTGGAGAGTTTCGGATTTGACATATGTATGTATACGGGTGGTGTTGTGTCTATACATACGCATTTGTATGTTGAATATATATATATATATATTTATATACACACATTTTCACACACACATATATATATATATATATATATATATATATATATATATATATATAACTTATGTATAATTCAGGCAAAAGCTAATTGTCGTTTTTTAATATTGTGTTTTTAGACCCCCCCCCCCACAGTTTTTTTTAAGCATTTAACCCCAAGCAAGGCGGGAGTGACCATGAACATACACAAAGAAACAGAGAGTGAGAGTAAGAGTAAAGAAAGGATAAAGAGAAGGATGGCGATCAAGATCAAGGCATCAGAAAATGTCGATTGACATTACATTTGAATATTTGAAGATTATAGCCACCAGGGAAGCAAGTAAGAGGAAGGGAGTTCCACTGACGGGAAGTGTGAGAGAAGAAGATGTTGGAGTAGAAGAGGCTGGTATCCCGTGACCACCGCTTGCTTTAGAGAGGATGTCCAATACTCTCGACGGGGCTATGCTCATCTCTCTCAATAGAGCCTCAGTTCTAGGGGGAATATCAGGTGTGGGTATTCCGGATGAGTTGTTAGTTGGATGAGAATTTTCGAGCAAAGCATTCACCCTTATCAGCTGAGGAAGTTAGGACGTCGAATTGATTGAATGTAGACGAGGCATTGAGAATTTGCTGTTGTTCAGCACACTCTTGCAGAGCTGCCTATAATCTTTAGAACTCCTGTTCAAAAGAAAGGAGAGGAGTATTGGCAAGTCTATCTACTTCTATTTAAAAAAAACACAAAAAATATAACAAAACAAAAACAAACAAACAAGCAAGAAACAAGAAGTCGATCAACAACGAGTATGGCATCCAGAATTGAAACTGAAATATAAAGTTTCAACTTAATTGAAGAGCCACCATTTACTTCCGTTGAAGACGACACTCCACCTTTGTGAGCCAGAAATAATGTCCAATATTTCAATAAGCCAGAAAAAAAATCCAAAGATTTAATAATCAAACTTTTCAAAATGGGTGTAGAATAAATTCGCTTCAATTAAAAGGAAAAAAAAAAGTACCTAGAAAATAAAAGGAATAGGTAAAGAAAATGATTAAAGAATGAAATTCAAAGAGATACATACAAGTAAGACAGATAAAGATATACTTTTTCAAGTGGATTCGTAGACGAAAATTAAGCAAGGAGTGACTTTCCTTTGTTTTGCTGTCAACGGCTATCTAGTATAGCCGAATTTAAATCCCAAGACCAAAGGAGGGGGCAGTGCTAATATCGCCATGTGCCCGCATTAACTTCACGTTGAATACAACACTACACGTCTCTGAGCCAGGGATATATTAGGCTGGTGCAAAAATAATGACGTAAGAATGTCGTTTTTTGACGTTAAAAATACGTCAAAAACGACATTATTACGATATTATTTTGCACCAACCTAATATATATATATATATATATATATATATATATATATATATATATATAATATTTTTTTAGTCAAAAATTATAACATAAAATTATAGCATCACCACAAAAGTAGGCATTTTGTTTCAACTTCTGGTGTCTTCTCAATGGATATATATATATATATATATATATATATATATATATATATATATATATATATAATAAAAAAAAACAGACCACTTTAAGGTAACATTATAATAATTTATTTCACCAGAGTCCTTTTAAAGGACGCCGGATCATCAGATAGCACTTTCAGAAATGAAATGAAACGAAAATTGATGGGTAGTGTAAGTTTTTTGTAATTTAACAGAGAGTGTAAAAAGGAGTAGTTAAAGAGACATTGTCGAGTATAGGAAGGGATTAATTTCATATCTCTCTCAAGTATAGTTTGTATGGGGGGGAGAAGGATATATATATATATATATATATATATATATATATATATATATATATATATATTGATGCATGTTTCATTAAATAATATAGACAAGTTTTGATAGTTAGTTTTTGTTTACATGTAAGATTTCCAAGCAAAGACAAACTCATTATTGTTTTGCCCGTGAATTGTTCAATATATTGTAATGTTTAATACATTGTAATGTAATTGTCATCTTTGATAATGGATTATGTAAGCCGAATGCTTAGATAGGATTAAAAAACATGTTTCAATATGGTGATTTTCTTATGATATGAAAAGAATTTACATAAAATGAAATAGACAAAACTTTTCAATATCATTTAATGAAACATGCATCAATGCCTAATACACACAATAATTATAAATATATATATATATATATATATATATATATATATATATATATATATACACACACACACATGTATATATATATATATATATATATATATATATATATTTAAGACATTTTTATGTTTATACATACTTTTTATATATAATGTATATTTTTTATGTATAATAATGTCTTAAAATAATTGTCGGACAT